CAGAATAGACAGAAATTAATATGGTTATTATGGGGAGATGAATCAGTGCCCATTTGAAATCTGGTTACTGCAAAATCTTCATTCCCTCCCCATCAGCTGGGACTCTGATGGCACAGAATAGACAGGGATGAAGCCAGTCAGAGGTGGTATCTACTGGTTCTCTGAACTACTCAAAATGTCCGCTACTGGTTCTCCAGAACTGGTCAAAACCTGCTGAATACCACTCCTGATATAATCACACTAACCAGATTTCAAATGGGCACTGATTCATCTCCCCATAATAACCATATTAATTTCTGTCTAGCTAGTAACTATCCTAAGAGATCTACGTGATTAGATTATAGTAGGTCTATCAATTTAAAATGGTACTGGCCAGCTCTTGTCAGTTTTCTGCCTCCATCCCAAGAAATTACTTTGAAATGTGCTCAGGATTATGACCTGTTTCACAAACAACATAAATTTACTATTTGAAACAAACCTCTCTTCTTTATTTTTGCAAATACACTCTCCAATTATCTCCTTAATTTCAGGATCAGTAACTTTATCAAAACTTGCTGGTTTGACACCCTGCATGAGGAAAAATAAACACAATTAAGTTTCTCTGGCATTTTCATTCTAGATCTACACAGTTTCAGTTTAAATTAGGACTCTTATGTAACCTAATATACAATAGACCATTATATATGCAGCAATGACGCTAAAGTCAGTATTAACTTTTATTATGAATTTTAATATTAAAGGCCTTGAGAGGGAAGAATTGAACTATCCTAGGCTTCTATTTGGGATTCTGCTCCAGAAAGATCAATGTCAAGGAATGGGTTTTTCTTAAAGTTTTGTTTAAATAAATTATTAATTAACTATTTGTTTATTTTAATTGTACCTCAACTTTCCAGGATTTACAGCAGCTTTCCTAATAGATTTTTATAATGTTTTGATACTGTTCCAGTATACAGTCCACTTTAAATTAAGGAATAGATATTGTAAAATAATTTAGTGTCTCTTATGTTTTTGCCCCAAATTTAAAGTTAATCCTTACAGGTATCAATTCTGCAAAAAAAGGAAACAGTTACTCTGTAAGGTGACCAAGTTTTCTTTTCAGAGTAGACCTCATTGAAGTTTGTGAATGTCTTAGAAAAAGATTTTCACCTGCTGACAGTTTAGAAGATGTGAGCTTTAAGGATTCTCAATAGCAAATTTAAAATCCCCAAAAGAAATAAGATATTTAAGGCAACATTTTATATATGTTGAATATGGAAAAAGAATCTTTTTCTAGTGAGGCAAAGTAATTGAAATAGAAAGCTTTATTCTATTTTTAAACATTTCCCTGGAATAATTTTAATAAGTATAATTATTTTTCATCCCTTTTTATGTTATTGGGATATTTTAAGAAAGGAAGTGAATACCTTATGCCTGGCACAGGCTTAAGACATCCATTTGATTCTTTCACTGGAGCTCAACTCTGGGTGAATCTATGGATATTTTCATATAATTTTCATGACAGTAATATGCAAATACTTACCTTCTGAAACATATNTGTAAAACTTTGTACAGAGGTATACCTGAAAGAAAACCCACATATATATAAACACCATATTTTTCAGAGTATAAGACACACCATGATTTTGAAGAGGCAAATTAAAAATAAAAGGTTTTGCACTCTGCAGACCACCTGAAAATGGGCCTTTTTTGACAAAAAAGGGGCATGCATAGTCTTTTGGAGGCTTATAGAGTGTTCCTGGACTGGAGGGGCACAAAGGAGCAAAAAAAACCAGCCTGTTTGTTTTTCATTCATTTCTGCCCTCCCCAGCCCCCAAGAATACTCTGAAAGACTCCTAAAGGCTATGCAAGGCCATTTTGGTGAAGGAGGTGGGGTTTCAGGAGGCAAAAAAATGCTGTATTCAGTGTATAAGACACACCCAGATTTTCAGCCTCTTTTTTGAGGGAAAAAGGTGTGTCTCCGAAAAATATGGGCAATTTTATGGATTTTTTTCTTCGTATTTTTTCTTTGTCCATTATGTTTAATTAAATATATAAATATAAGGTTTAAAACTTGTAGAACGATTAAGACAGAATCTTGTGAGATACTGCGTCCAATAGCTACTTGTCAAATATAAATCTCCACTTACTATTTTCTAGAACTTACCTGGATTGAGAAGCCTTTCTTTTGGTCACTCATGGCTTAGTCACCTTCTGTATGGATTACTGTAATGTGCTGTATAATGTGCCAATCTTGAAGTGTACCTAGAAGCTGCAATTGATGCAGCACCATGGGCAGATCTGGGCACCTCTAGGATTGCACATGTAACACTTCTACTATGTGAGCTGCATTGGATGCCAGTTTATTGTCTAGTCAAATTCAAGTGTTGATTTTTAAAGTCTTTAAAAAACTTTTAAAGTGTTTCATGGTGTCGACCTGGTTATCTGAAGAACCATCCTATCCCGCCCAGTCAGAGAAGGTTGTTGTAGAACCCATTGATTAAAGAATTTTGATTGGCAGGGTCTAGGATGAGAGTCTTCTTTACTGTTGCCTCTGCCTATAGAACATCNGTGTGACTAGACCACATAGTCTCCTGATTTATATGGCTCTTATATTGAGCTTTAGAAGGCATATGAATTAATTTATGACTAATTTATAATTTTATTCTTAGTCAGGTTAAATTCTCCCCGAAAACGTCATCATTCTGAACTCTCTATACCAATCTTCTTAGTCTGTTCTTGATTAACTTTTTAAAGTAAATATAATAATACAAATGAATGATGTAAATTAAACTTTGTACATATTAAGAATTTTACACAATTTCTTACAAAATAGTTGATGCAAACTGTGCTTACATAACATGATTGGTCAGCTGGGGTTTTGTATCTTTCCCCCACTAACCTTGTAGGAAAGCAAAGCATATATCTGCATGAACAGCTCTAATAATCAAGCTTGGGAAATATGTACCATATCACATGATGCTTTATAAAATAATAGTACTTTCCAAAAAAAACCCAGTGAATTTAGGATTAAGAGTTTACTGCATGAAAGGACAGGCATAGGATAGTTATTTTATACTTGGAAAGCTTATTTGTTTCCTGGACATTGAATCATTTAATGAAAGAGTTCCATTCTAGGCTACTTATGAAGGATATTAAATAAGAATCAGGCACAAACATAACAAAAAAAATATTAACAAAATGTACCACTAGAGACAAAGGCTTTGTTGAAAGAGAAATAGAATAATTGGAATGTTCGTAATGCTTCCTACAATATATTGTAGGAATGCTTCCTACAATATAAGGACAACAGCCAATTTTTTTCTAAGGGACATACAAAGCAACCTTTTCTCCTTGTTCTGTAGCTTGTTTCCATAATCTCCTCGATAAATTTGTAAAGTAATGTTGAGGTTGTGTCTGATTTTAGAGAGAAGCGGACTCTGTCCTGCTGCTGCAAATAAATAACAGCATTTTGGGGAAGAGGGGAACGGTCTCAAAAAGTATAAATGCCAACTATGAGCACAACACCTTGTGCTCGGTTTAGACGCATCTTGACATTTTTTTAATCCTTCTGTGAACTCTATGAATGCATTTCTGTCTGAATGGATTAATAATCCATTTCTTTGGTAATCCTTACATTGGATTGGCAATGTTATTATCACTCTATTTCAGATGCAGGTAAGGTAAAAGATCCAATTAAGTGTTTGTGGGAGGATATCTATGATGGTTTCCAGATCTCCTTTTCTAAATGGAAAAGCAACAAATAGCTATAATTGCATATTACAAAGTTTAGGAGTTCTGAACCCTTTCCACTGAGGCCATTTTTTGTCCCAACCAGCCTCTGAAAGAAGCTTTCTCATGCATTTTGCTATGTCAACATTCAAAAACAAATGACACAATCAATATGCAATCCGTGACAAATGTAACCTTGGCACATATCAAAACAAAGAACTGGGCTGTAAGAGCTTGTACTTTAAATAGTGTATGAATCTGTGTTCATATAAGTTTCAGTTTTCCACCAATTGAAAAATAGACAGGTCCCACAATTCATGTTTGTTCTTAAACTTGGCAGTACAGTTTAGTTCCAATATTTCTCCCCCCCCCACCTGAAAATAAAGTAAAAAGATCTGTGTACATATACAGAAGCACATAGCATTTACAGGAATCTTTGCAGAATAATCTATATGAATTGTCTCCACCACTCTTTATATAGTCATATTTAATATAATAGAGTGGATCCCAAGTAAGTTTTGTTCCACTCAAATCAGTGGCACAATCAATTCTGATTTCATGAGGCATCACTGATTTGAGTGTAAAATAATGAATTTTGAATACAACTCATTCAGTTTAATATCAAGAATACACCAAGATAAAAGAACAAAGTCAGCCCCTGAGTTCACATGGCAGATCAATATCAAGGATATTTAGTGACAACTGTAGCTGAACAAAAGAAGATAGATGGGCCAATGTTATGTGGAACCAGAATAATGCACAGAGCTGTAAGTGATATTATAGGCAAAAGCAAATTGACAGACATTCATACAAATGCATAGAGCCAGTTTGATCTAGTGGTTAAGGTACCCAGGCTAGAAACCAGGATACTGTGAGTTCTAGTTCTGCCTTGGACATAGTCAGTCTCAGTCTCAGTCTCAGTCTCAGTCTCTCTCTCTCTCTCTCTCTCTCTCTCTCTCTCTCCCTTCCTCCCTCCCTCCCTCCCTCTCTCTCTCTCTCTCAGCCCAACTCACCTCACAGCGGTGTTGTTATGGGGAAAATAGGAGGAAGCATTAGGTATGCTTGTACCTTTTTTTATAAAAATAATAAAGGTATTATAAAAATAAATAAATACATATAAACATATCCATTAACCATTGTAAGTATACAGTGCAAGCAAGCTTCCAAAAGTATAAGAAACTATAATATAAAACAGATACAAATCATATATGTACACAATCTTCTAGTGACAAAGTAAGGAATTGCTCTCTCTTTATATCATATTGGGTATATCCCAGGGTGTCACCTTATTTTTTGAAAATGTCAGAGTTCTATACTCTCAAGAAATAAAATTGGTGCCTAAAATGTTTCCTCCCCTCCAAAAATATATTATATAATCAGCTTGTATTTGATAAAGTGCCACACTCTTCACTGTTCAAAATGTTATTATGGAGTTTGGAAATTTAAAAATATGGAAAAATAAATATTAAAAAGGAAGCAGAAACAATTTGCAGGTAGAGTTTTTATAAATTAACACTGAAACAAGTAACAAAACATTTCATTAGAAGAATTATTTCAACAATACTTTTCATTAAAATTATATAGTATGTTATATAATAGTATAATAGTGCTTACAATGTTAAAATAAGGAAAACAGTGTAAATGAAAGAGCAAAATGATTATATTAAAAATATTACTTACAGAGGTTACTTTCCTATATATTTGAGCAGCATTCTGGCATTCTGAATATGGATATTCTGAGGTAGCCATTTCCAACATACACATTCCAAAAGCATATACATCCACTGATTCATCATAGTGTTCTTCATACATTTCTGGGGCCATAAATTCTGGAGTACCTGAACAGAACAAAAGAAATTCGTCTTAGAAAATATACTTGTACATAGAGCATCAACCATAGAAAAGTACATTTAAAGAATAACGTTTTATGCATGAATGTAAAACTCAAAGAAACTTCCGTATTTTAAATTGAAATTAGTAAGAAAGACAGTTAAATGAAATATTAGGTTAAAACCAAAGGCATCGTTCTATATGCAGAAATGTTCAACTCACAGAAAGGCAGTTTTCTACAATTTTGTGCCTCCCCTCCCAGACAATATTAATTCAAATAATACTTTGAAACCCAATAAAAAATTAGACTAAGAATTCAAAATATTTTCAGATCCTAGACACTCATTGCATAATTTTCTGCAATGACATAGGAAAGTCCATGTTTTTTTAAAAACAATCTGGAATTTGAAAAGTTCATAAAATATCCTGTGAAGTTGATTTCACTGAATATCTTGTTTGATCTAATATAAGAATGCCTAAGTCTTATGTTTGAAATCTCAAGAGAGATTTCTAAACTTTTAATCCAAGTTTGAAAGTTAACAGCCATCTTGTCAATAGATGCCCTACTTCTTTTTATGCTTTGTGGCAAATCCCTGAGCTACAGATTTCCATAAGAAAATTGGATGTCAGAATTCAAAATGGTATGAATGCAGACTTTGCCTTGTCTTGATTTTGATCATGTGACACATGATCTTGAAAAAGAGGAAAGCAGGGGGGGGGAATAATAATTCTATCTCGATTTTCTTTGTATAAGATTACTGCTTGTTAAGTAAGTTTATTTATTTATACATTACATCCACTATAAGCATAAGCTTCTAAACAAAAGTAAATTATAATTCATGTTCATATGTATAGAATAGTCAATACATTATAAATTACTGATTAAGAAAAAATAACATTGTTAAAATGTTACTAATTTTGGAAGAATATATGAGGGAATAATTTAGCATTGATATAGCAGTGAAAACAAAATATGGGTCGATTGTTTTGAGGGTCTATACTATTCATCCATTTTCAATGAAGAGAAATGAGATAAATGAAATATGGAGATTTTTAAGAAGAGACGGGACAGCCATTTGTCTGAAATGGTATAGTGCTTTCTGTTTGAACATAGGATTGGACTAGAAAACTTCCAAGGTCCCTTCCAATTCTGTTTTTATGTCATGTCATGCTTACCTATGACACTTTTGGCGAATGAAGTTCTCTTAAGTGTTGCCAGACCCAAATCTCCTATCTTCACAGATCCAGTTGGCCCGGTTATAAAAATATTGTCACATTTTAAATCTCTATGAATAATTGGTGGTGTTCGAGTGTGCAGAAAAAGAAGACCTTTTAGGATTTGCCGACACCAGCTACGAAGAACTTTTGGTTTCATCACTTTAAATCTCTTCAAATAGCTAAAATAAAAACATGTGAGATGGAATAAAATTATTTTAGAGAAAAACAGATGCATTGAGATTCTTCTTGTGGACAATATCTGCCTTTCTGCAGGGCAACGAGGCCCTGAAACATTCATGACACTTCCCAGGTCAGTTTGAATACTTTGTAAGCAATCTACCTCTTGCAATTAGACTTATCCGAGTCAGCCTTCAGCCAAGTACAGTCAAATACAGTCCTAATTTAAAAGGAGGATCGTTTGGAAAGTAAATTATAAATACATTCACCTAAATCCGAATGTGCTAAAAGCTATGAATTACAATTCTATGGAGATCTTTGTTTATACAAAACTCTACATGTTCACTGATCCTGTATGTATATTGGCATACAGTTGACCAGCAACAGTGCTTCATATTTGAAACCAAAAAGGTTATTTTATCATCAGTAAGATAATAAAGCATGGTGATTCAAATGAATTATTCAAACATATTAATTTGAATCAACTGTCTTCCTTCTCATTGGTGGAATATTATTTGATTATAGCTTAATAATGTCATCTATTTTGAAAAAGGTTAACCAAGAGGTTCAAAATGACCCAAGTAAAAGGAAGAGAAAATACAAGCAGAACGTTGGATAGCCACAGAAGAAAACAATAGAGAATATAATAGAAATGAAACTTAATTTTGAAATTAAATTGATTTAATTTGAAATACAGTCAGGGAGAAGGATGGTAGATTTCCATTCTTAACAGGGTTAGGGATTTAAGCAAGAACTTTGTTTATACAGATGTTCTACTTAACTAGTTATCCATGTCATGACATAACTAGTACTCACGTTTTCAGAGTCCCGGAGGTCATCAGTTCTGTTACTAGGACAATACATTTTTTTCCTTTTAAACATGACTCCCAAAAATCATAAAACCTAACAATATTTGGGTGCTGAAGACCTTTCAACATTTCTGCTTCTTCTTTAAATCTTTGCCGCTCTGCTTTTGTCAGCTTTCGATCCTGCAATTCAGAAAATATTTCTTGTCAGAAGACAGCCTGGGAATATACCCTGCATTAAAAGGGCTGCTGCACTACGGCTCACATGAAGAGGGCCATAAAAATGATGTCCATAATTTTTTTCCTGTTCCATAGATGATATTAAAATGTTGATTTTAGGGGTGCAGGAGAATTCAAATGAACGATAAAATGTATTTCCCTTGCAAATGGAATTATCTTTGATAAAGTAGGATCTTTAGATCTAAGCCATAGCCATAACTCAATATGGCAAATATTTTAGGTAAATATCAAATACAATTACAAAATTACAAAAACAAAACAGAATAATATCATTAAGTTTCATTATAGATACCATTTTTTTCTTTTTTGCAGTTTTTTCACCATAGTTCTACAGATCATCTCTGTTGGTCTGTTGCAGTGCACTCCATATGGGGGCTGCTCTTGAAGACCACCCAAAAGTTTTACTTGATCCAGGATGCAGAGGCATGGGTAGTTAATGGACACATCTCATAATGCCTATGTAATATCATTACTACCTATTAGAAACCAGCAAACTGCACTGGTTTATAATAGGCTTCTGAATAAGTTTCAAGATGCTGGGTATCACCTTTAAAACCTTACATGTCATGATATCAGGTTACTTGAAGAACTGTTTTTTCTCCCAAGAACATCTGCCCACACAAATTGATCCAACAGGGGGGCATCTCCAAGTTCCTTCTTTGAAATCTTACTATCTTATAGTACCTAGGAAATATGCCTTTTCTGAGGTTACACCTATTTTCTGTAATAACAACCCCCAACTCTGCCTGTCTTTAGGAAAGTCACTTAAGATCCATGGATTCCTTGTTGCTCTGACCATGGTTATTTGCTTGCACATATTTCATCCAGTTAGATAACATAATCAGTTCTAGTGACTGTGGTATTTACATAGAAGAATAATAAAGTTGTGAGGTTCAGCATCACAGCTATGAGGATAACGGTTTACTTCTGATCCCTATGTTCATTAATGTCCTAGGCTCTATGATTGATTCCTGCTTGGTTCAGATTGGATTGGACATAATGGACTGAAACTGATGTTTACAGGAGAATCGAGCAACTGGAAGAAATCTTTTTTGATGTAGATGGGGAGATTCTTCCCTTGAAGAACCAGGTGATTATGTTTGACCTATGCTGGCCATAAGCATTTAGATCTAACCATTTAGTACTTAGGTCTACATAGGGGTGAATACCTTTATCTAGCTCTACTTGTACATAATTTACTGGATAAAACCAATTCAACTACTCTGATCAATGTGCTAGTTACCTGCTGCTTTTATTTTGTAATATTCTGTGTATATGATGCTTTTGAAAGAGATTCAAAAATTGCAGTGGTTCCAAAATGTGGTAACTAAACTCTTCTTGGCATGTCTCCACCGAGACATGCTCTGTCTTGTGTTACCTTTTTTTTACAGTAAAGTCCCTAAAAAGATTGAGTCTACATTTCTTCCTCCATAAGGAGTAGCACAAACGTTAAAATGCATTTTAGCCCATTGTAAATGCTTCTCTAAAGGGAAGCTTGTTTTGAACTGACAAAGGTTGGGAGTTTTCTTGTTGGTGACTACGTTATAATGGAATCCCTTCCCTAAATAATCCGCTTTGCCTGTTCTGTGATATTAAAAAAAACCCAACAAATGTATTTTCATTTGTTTACTTTCGGGCCCTTTTTATTGTTGTTGTCAAATTCCAGTGTGCACTTCAAATGTAAACTCAATGTCAGATTATTGTTTTGTTTTACATGGTTAGAATGTTTTATGGTTCTAAGATATTAGATATATGTTCTGGGGAGCAGTATAATTAAATATGTGTTATTATTGTAAGTCTCTGTGGGCTTGCTTGGCTGAGAACACTGTAATGCTAATAGATAAATACACATTTAAAACCTACACACTTTTATTTATTTATTTAATTTATATGCCGCCCATCACACCAGTGACTTAGTTTCGGGTTAACTGAAGGATCACCCTCTGGAATCTATCCATGTGTTGAAATCTTTTTCGAAGACATACTATTGAAGTAGCTGTGGAATTCTCTCACAAGTGACAACCATCTACAAATATCCCTTGATTTAGGACCATAATTGAGTCTGAAATTTCTGTTGCTAAGCATGGCAACAGTGTTTTGCACCATTTTACAATGTTTTTACCACAATTGTTAATAGCAATAGCACTTAGACTTATATACCGCTTCATAGTGTTTTAACAGCCCTCTCTAAACAGTTTACAGAGTCAGCATAATATTGCCCCCAACAATCTGGGTCCTCCTCAGCCACCTCAGAAGGATGGAAGGCTGAGTCAACCTTGAGCCGGTGAGATTTGAACTGCCGAATTGCAACTAGCAGTCAGCTGAAATAGCCTGCAGTACTGCACTCTAACCACTGTGCCACTTCTCTGTTACACACCTTCTGCAAATCACTGCAGTTGTTAAGTGGATAATGCAGTCATTAAACAAATCTAGCTTGTCAGAAGCCAGCTGGGAAGGTTACAAATGGTGATCACATGAGCTCACGTCATAATACATGCCAGTTGATAAGTGTCCAAGTTTTGATCACACGACCATGGGGATGCTGCAAAGGTCATTAAGTATGAAAATTGGCCATAAGTCTCTTTTTTCAATGTGAGTTGTAACTTCAAACAATCTTTAAATAAATGATTGTAAGTTGAGGGCTATGTGTATTGTGGTACACATATTGTGGTTTCAATTGTGTGATTAGGGTTCTTCTTTTCATTCACCAGCATAAAAAGCATACAGGTATATATCAATTCTGGCTCAGTGCCCTTGGCTAAGGGTACACAAATACTCCAAGGGTAAATATGACACTAAAAAGTTGGCTAAAACACATCACATACTTGAGAGGCTTAAGATTTTAACTTCTATGTAACATAAAACAGCTCCACCTAGTTGTGGTTAATACCCGAGAGATACACTACAAAGAGCAAGCCAAAATAACCACAAAGAATAAGGCAGCATGACCACAAGCTAAAACCTTTGCTAATTCAACGGATGTTCATAAATCATGCAGCCAGATGAAGCAAATGCTTGAAAAGATGGGTCCTATGGTACATTGTAGTTGCATTTCATATATGTATCCCAAAGAATTTAATGCTGACACTTGGGGTGAGGAAAGTTATAATTAACAATGTTGATCATATAAACCAGTCACTGAAGAAATTAAGATGTTTGTAAATTATTCCATCCATTGTTTTTAAATGGAAATCTTTCAAGATAAATACTGAATAAGGCCCTGAACAAAATAAAGCAGCAGCATCAAGAACCAGGACAGTATCCAACATGGATTCTTCAAAATATTTTACGCCAGCTTTCCCATTATCTATGACAAATTGATGACTATCGTTGAGTTTTAACCCAGAATATCTGTTGGAACTCAGTTTTCGAGAACAGTCTGTGTCATTTGCCCAAAACACCTTCTATAAAACTACTGCACACCTTCTGACAGTTGAGTCTTGTCCAAATGGAATCTGCCCAGCCCATATGCATATATGGAGAAAGTCTTGTGTTCTTCTCCCTAGGTCAAATCAGGGAAATGTAGACCACAAGTCAGTCTTCTCTATAGTGGCCCATCTATTTTGGAACACTCCAGGGGAAGAAGTGTGCCTTGTACTGTTTTACTGGTATTTTGTAAGACAATGAAATCTGTATTATTTAACTGGGCATTGTGTGGATGGCTTCTATGGTTTTCATTGTCTTATATGGGTGGGCAGGCATGATTTTATTAGCAAATTTGTTGTTGAATTTTGGTTTTGAAATGGCTGATTTCCAGATTTTTAATTCTTTTACTATGAAGCTATATATTGTAAATGGCTGCTACCAAGTGAAGGAGTGTATGTGAGGCACCATGCATGTCAGAGAGGGTATATGAGAGCTCTAGGGAATGCACAAGATGCATTGTGTGGATTAGGAAAGATGCACAGAGCTGCATGAGGAGTGCACAGGGACAAGAGGGCAAAATAGTAAGGTATGAATTGCAGAGGATGCCTGCAGAGTGGGTGCATAAGGTGGGAAAGATTGTGGCAAAAGTACACAGTGTTACACAAGATGCACTGTGAGAGTTGGGAGTGGGTGGGAAAGCTGCATGGTGATGCGGTGCAGATTGCAGGAGGAGTACTAAAGAGTGTGAGGGTAGTGTGGTGAGAGTCAGGGAGAATGCATATGAGTAAGTGGTAGCAATTGATCATTGGTAATACACTGTTACAACCTTCATATCTGTTTGTAACCTTCAATTACCCCCCAAATTTTGGAATCAAGGTACACCTCCAATCCATGGACTTAAAGAATTTAAGTTCAAAATTCATTACTCTCATGTAATTTAATTTTCAAGGATCTTCACACTATTTGTATTCACAAAGTTGTGGCTGCTGCAGCACTACCAAAATCATGCAATCGTGCTTTCTGGTGTTCCCTGCCACGAGCAAAGTCAATGCAAAAACCAGCAATGCAATGGAAGTGGTTTCTGCTCCCACTACTTTTTTGCTCACGTGTTAAGTTACTGTGTTTCTCTGTTCAGGTAAGGAAATAACTCTGGGAGGATGACCCAACAGATCATGAGTTATCTAAAATTCTCATTTGTCTTTGTGTTTCTGTTTGTACCCTCAGTATGCTGCATTACACCACAACATTTTTTGAATCAAGGTAACTCAAATCCACTAACTTAAAAGAATGCATACAAAATCCAGGATCCATTGCATCTGTATAATTGAAATTTCCATGATAGTCAGACCTGTTTTATTTGCAGTTGTGGCAGTGTCGCCGTGATTACATGACCATGGTTTTTGGCCCTCCATCAGCTTCTTACAAGCAAAGTGAATGAAGAAACGGGCAGAAAGTTGGAAGTTGCTCCCACTGCCACTGCTTTTTTGCCCACCTGTAGGCATCTGTTTAAGTAATTACTGACTTATTATTAAAGTTCCTTTGCCACTACAATTATTTTGCTATTAATGGTATCTATT